TCAACTCTATAATTAGCAGCAAATTGTTGCTGGTTTTGTCCTGTCTCATGTCCATCTTTGCACAAAAGGTTCCTTTAAGAGTTCAAATTTTCTTGAACAGATCTTTTGTTTTTCCCTTTCTATTATTTTCCTCTGTACCTTTGCACTGTTCATTTAAGAAGGCCTTCTTGTCTCTCCTTGCTATTCCTTGGAAATCCACATTCAATTTTCTGTAGCTTTCCCACTCTCCCTTACATTTTGTTTCCTTTCTCTACTCTGCTGTAACGCCTTGTTGGACAGCCACTTTGCTTTTTTGCATTTATTTTTCATTGGGATGGTTTTTGTTGCTGCTTCCTGTACAATGTTACAAGCATCTATACAAAGTTCTTCAGGCACTCTGTGCACCAAATCTAGTTCCTTATATTGTTCTTCACTTCCACTGTGTATTCATAAAGGATTTGGTTTAGATTATACCTGAGTAGCCCAGTGGTTTTTCTACTTTATTCAGTTTAACCTTTAAATTTTGCTATAAGAAGCTGATGGTCAGATCCACCATCAGCTCCAGGTCTTGTTTTTGCTGATTGTATAGAACTTCTCCATCTCTGGCTGCAGAAAACAGTAATTTGATCTTGGTATTGCCCGTCTGGTGATGTCCATGTGTAGAGTCGCCTCTTGTGTTGTTGGAAAAGAGTGTTTGTGATGACCAGCTTCTTGCCAAACAGATATTTCATTTTGTTTTTCCATCTTTCAGATCAGCCCAATCCATATATATGGGTTTTAAGAAACATTTTCTTTTTTAAAATGCCTTCTTTTGTTTTAATAACCAAGCTTTGTGATAGTTACAAAAAACAACTGCATGTTGCCATTTATTTCACTAATATGTTATGCAAGTAATCAAAATTCTGCATAGAAGGCAATGTTGCAGTCTTTCTCTTAAAGTAAGATTACAAAAGAAAACCCATCAACAGTGAATATAGCTTTCTCCTTTCTGTTTCGAAATGCTTTGGAAGGAAAATGAGGGTTGTCAAGGAAACACAGTCCAACTTTTGGTTCTCAGGTAACAAAGAATGGGAGAAAAAACCCCAACATTGTTATGCTATTTAGAAGTCAAGTTCGTTTCTATAATTGTAATTCTTCTCCTCATCTGTTTGTTTGGGAAACGTGACATTTGTCTTGATATAATTGCAGAATCCTGCTTTGGGGTCCAGCTGCTGTGGAACATCACAAGACATGCAAGAGTTTGGGGAAGTCATTGTGGCAGCAGCCAAGCATGGAAGAAATTCTGTGTCTGCTAGACCGAGAAATGATGATGAGGACCATTCTCCATTTCCCCCAGCGTCGGCACCTTTTGTTCATAGAGGTGCCCTGGCTTGATTGCAGACTTTTTCTCTGCAGTAGAACTGTTTGCTGTTAATAATGCAGTTGCATGTCTTTCAAGAGGCATCTTAAGGCTTGACACTGATAGTAGTGAAATGTGATGAACGTTATTTGAGGACTTCTTTCATGCAGGTTTTCTTTTTTAATGTGATGTCCAGATAGAGTTGTGAAAGCGCAAACCCTCTGACCTCATTGAGACAAATAACCTAATTTGATATCTAGGGATTGACCTGGCTACTGAGGAAGCATTTTAAACAAATTCCTCTGCAAAAGAAAGAGATCTCAATAAAGACAACAAATACCCACCCGCTCCTTACGTTTCTCAATGGTATTTACATAGCAGATGTTCCAAAGAAGCTATCACAGCAACTAAAACCAGCGTGTTCAAAATCCAGTAAAGCATCACTTTATCGTCTCTGTTCCAGGAAGAACCACATCTCCTAAGCAAAGGCAGGATGGAAGTGGCTCTGAAGGATCTCTATGACCCTTGTTTCCTCCTTCAGCTCTTCAGTGAATTGTTGAGACCAGGTATAGGAAATCTTGCAAACAATTCATAGACTCTGTAGAAACCCAAGTAATAATGTTTTTGGATTCTAAACTGATAAATTATGCTGAAACTGTGCTAAAGTTTTATATCTTACACTTACCACTTGCTTGCCAGCAGGGCCTCTGTTCTTAGCTTCTAGTCTGATAATATGGCTAACTATACAAGTGATTTAAGTCTAGACCACATATCAGGGTCACCCCTCAATCATTATAACACTGTTGTGGTTTCATGTGCTATCTTTCCTGGCTTTAAAAAAAACTAAATTAGGGCAGAATTGCAGTCATGGGCATTATCCAAGGAGTGAGAGAGAAAAGGCACCCCTCTCTGAAATGAGGTGGCCTAGATGGCCTTAGTTCTTGAAGAAGAGCTAGCCAGTCATCATAGGTCTTTACAGCCTATGGGAGAACACCGAGGGAAAAGAAATCTGTGCCCACCAACAGTCAAAGAGCAGGAGCATTCTGTTCTTCTCTGAGTTAGTTGCCATTTTCCAAATACTTGTGACTAGTAGCCCCTTCACCTAAATCTATATTTTAGTCCTGCATCTCTGGATTGCTGCTGGTCTTTTTAAGAGAAGCTTATGTGGTCATTCTCGGTCATCATTCTTATAGTGCTCCTGGATTTTTCAGAGCAGGGTCACATACATGTTTGTGTCTGGAATCTCAGGGAGTTATCATAGTTAGAATGGGGTGCTCCCAGGACTAAGGGTGTGGGAGAGAGATAAAATGCTGTGTCGTTTTTTTAAAGACTATTAGATGTATTTAGCACCAGCTTTCACAGATCCAGGTCCACTTCTTCAGAAACAAGGAATGCAAATATATGCCCTTGTATTTATACATATTTCCATGAAGGTGAGAATCAAGACCAGGTGAAAGTATGTATAATAAAATACAAAGAACCCGACTACTTTGGAGCAATGTTGTCCCCCTGAACAGCTCACACCAGGGGAAGACATGATCTGGAGTTCTGCTTTTTGAGCAATGGATACAAGTTCTCGTATAAGAAATTCAATACTTTGTGTATTTTTTAAAATTATTGTTTTCTTGTGTTCACGGCTTGTGGAAGGTACCTAGTTGTGGATTCTTTATACTCATCCGCCGAACTGCACAGGGCACCTGATATCTGCCCGTGGCTGTTCGTGAAGTGCTTGAAAACAAGTGCCCTGTTTTATCATGAACAAGGTTTCCAGCTGCCCTCTTATATTGTTCTCTGGACAAACTCTGCATTGTGGCATCTGATTTGTATTTGCCCAGTAGTGACAGGCATCTTTTGAAAGAGATGGATAGTTGGATAAGGCAATTGCTTTGAAAGAAAGAGTAAATAGTTTTAATGAGCAAAGATCAACTATAACATTGACCCAGGTAAACACCCTTTGTACTGTAATTGAAACATAAATGTCTGAACAGAGCAGTCTGAACAATTTTTCAACCATCCAAACTGCCAAAGGGGTCTAAGCTCCTTATGAGCAGGGGTAGCAGGCTTTCTGAGCTGAGTGAACAACCATCTGAGGCCCAGTCCCAACCCTCTGAAACTCTACCTGGATGTGAAAACACATCATGGAGCACAGTTGTTTTAACCCCCAGTTGTGGGTAGGGTGGAAAGGTGGGCTTGGCAGCAGGGTCTGAGAAAGCCCTTCCTGTCCGCTGCCATCTGATTGTTTAACTGGAGATGCTAGGGAATGAAGACAGGCATAGAGGGAAATGGATGTGGCTGTGACGTGAAGATACATCAGACAAGCAGCGTTTTGAAAAAGATGGGCAAGTAGGAAGGCCTGGCCAACTGGAATGAGAAGAATTGAGAAATTCTCTAAACAATGCTGATGCTGTAGGGGGCGTGATTGTAGAATTAAGTAGGTTGGTAAGTAGGTCCATGGGGAAGAGACACATTTCCATCTTTGGAATTTTGTTATCCTCTCACCCATAGAAGAACTGTTTTGGAGAGAATGATTTCTTTTGACTCTCTGTTTTCATGTATGAGTAACTATCTCTCCTGTTCATTGATTCTGTTCTCTTTTCCTTCTCAAGATGGTGGAGACATTTTCATTGCTGTATAACTTCTCTTAGCATATAAGATATCTGGTATTCTCTCACCCATAGAAGAACTGTTTTGAAGAGAATGGTTTCTTTTGACTCTGTTTTCATATATGAGTAACTATCTCTCCTGTTCTTTTCCTTCTCAAGATGGTGAAGACATTTTCATTGCTCTATAACTTCTCTTAGCATATAAGATATCTGTATCCCACCTGCCCCACTTGCCCCATTTCCCCTGGTCAGTAGCAGTAGGGTGTTTTTTAGATGTAAAAACAGACTTTTTTTTCTTGCTTGAGATACAGGAGAAATTGTTGCAGGATTGTTCATCCCATTAATAGCCCAAGTAAGATATTCACCATATGAACTTTCTTGCATGTTTGTCTTTTTCAGTAATGCTGTTCAAGGTACAGATCCTGCTTTAATTCTTCTTTGCCTCGGTCATTTTCCTCACTTTGAACTTGTCAAGTTGTGAGGGCTCACTCCCACTAACTACATGGCACAATGTTTCCTTTTATCCCACAAAGAATTTTAAAGCAACCCACTGCCTCTGTGGAATCTTTTGATTGCAGTACAACTGCCCTCCTCTGAGCATACCCTGTAGAACAATCCTGCACATGCTGAGCTGTTTCAGCAGGTGGCACAAATGGCTTTTGTTATGTTCTCATTTCCTGTATGTATTATATCAACACACTATGGGCAAATGTTCCATAACTACTTCTCACTGGGTGTAAAAAGCCCCAAATTATATAAAAAGGCAGGGGGGAGGCACCTCTGACAGTGTCTAGAATGGATCATTATCCCAGCAGCCATTTTGCTTGGAACTTTCCAAGGTTCTGTAAACAAACTGCATGTCCAACATAGATCAAATGTATTATTTTGCACATCAGCTGTCAAGTTCATATTCCAAGGTCGGGTCCTGTTGTAAATGTTTCCTTCCATGACCTATGTTCAGATTTCGGGATTAATGTTCAGACAGTAGATTTAAGTCTTATCTATAAATAAATAAATAAACTTGAGTCTTTGTTCCTTGACAGAATGTCTCACTTGGTAAGGCAGAGGAGAAACAGGACAGCAGGGAATTAATTTGGTATCACTGCCTTCTGGCTCTATACTCACAACCACTAACTTGGATTACAACCATTGCTTCACAGATACACGTGAATTGGTGCAAAAGAACATTTTCAGTGATTTTGACAGTACACCCTGGTATACTAAGACAGAGTGAGAAGGAAAAGAAAGATGTACAAAATATGGTGTTGGTGGAACCAGAATCTGGGTGCAAGAAGGATCATGGCCTTTTTTAAAGAGACAGTGCTCTTTTCAGCAGGAGCAATTCAATGGGATTTTGCTTTCAATTCAGCTTTGTTACAGAACAGTACAACTACGAGGACCATTGCAGCAGTCAGTGAAACTGACAAGAGCGGGACTATAGTTTTAGTTTGCATGTCCATAGCTTGCTCTTTCTAAACATAACCCTTTGAGATTCCTTTAGCAAACACTGTTAAATTATTCTTTCCTATAGAATATGTTGTAGCGTGCCATAAGTTTGTGGATGTCCATGGTTTGGGTCTGGCAGTAGCTGCCCTTAGCAGCTATGATCACAACATGCGAGCAGCAGCGTATCATATCTTAAGCTCCTTTCGCTCTCATTTAGAAGGGGCTCGATTTCGAGAACAGAAGCAGGTAAGAATGAGTTGATTTTTTAGCAGTTCAAACCCTAATGAGATAAAGACGAATCCTGCAAATGTCTCATCCATACTGACCACATATTACAAAATATGTACTGAAAGCTCTCAGGATATTTTCTTGCTTATTTACCTCCAGCTGGTATATAACACCAAAACATTTCACAGGACTAAACACATGAATGAATTAATGTATGAAGTTTATTTTATAGCGTATAACCTTTAATATTTGCACTAGTGATAGATTCTTTGTCTTTCCAAAGTATTTTGAAGTACTAGGTTATGCTTCCATTTCAGTTGTGTTAGAGTTACAATTTTGTTTTAGTTCTTCAAAGCATTTGAAAGGCATCAGCTTGTAGAAGGCTGTTCTAGACTATGGTTTCTGCCTGCTTGCCTGTAGTCCCTCTTAAAAAAATAGTCTTATAGGCATTAATCTTATGCGGGCAATTTAGCCATTCCCAATGCAAGCATGTAAACTGTTTTCCTGTTGTTTCTCTTCTTTTCTCTTGTGTTGCAGTTGCTTTACCTTATGGATGTTGTGCAGAATGGAATTAGACAACTGAATCTCAGGGTTGCTTTCCCTTTGACACTGTATATATCTAGAGTAGCACAGCAAATGCTCAAGCCAGGTACTGCAGAAAAAGTTAGATTTTCTATCTAAAATTTATTTCTCCAAGGAAGAACAGGTCATTTATTTACCTAAGAGTGACTGGTGGTTTAAAGAGGAACTAACCGAACTGGTATAGCCAACAAATTTGACTTTGTATTCATGAAGGCCTTCACGGCCAGGATCTAATGGTTGTTGTGGGTTTTTCGGGCTCTTTGGCCGTGTTCTGAAGGTTATTCTTCCTAAAATATCTCACAGCCATAAATACTGCACTCCCAAGCCAACTACACCAGAGAACAGAGTGCTGTCCTCTGAAGATGCCGACCACAGAGACTGGCGAAACGTTAGGAAGAACAACCTTCAGAACACGGTAAAAGAGCCCGAAAAACCCACAACAACCAAATTTGATTTTATTTCAATTTAAAATTACCCAGTGTGTTTTGGGCTGAATTTATGGCGCCTTCAGAAGCTGTACAAATTTAAAAAAAAAAAAAAAGGTTGGGAGACAACACATTACAATTTTTTCATTTTTTTACATTGCTCTCCCTCTCTATATATATAACAGTCTAAAACTTTATATATTGTTCACAATGAGAATATTCATCCAGCATGTTATTACATTTAACTGACAAACATAACTATTATATTGTATACCTACCACTGATTTTTGGCATGTATAAAATAAATATTTTTCCAAATAAACACATAACTATTATATTGTATACCTACCATTGATTTTTGGTATGTATGAAATAAATATTTTTCCAAATAAAATAAGAAAATCTAATATAGACTGTATTTTACACACACACAGACACACAGAGAGCCCCTTTTTGTATGAATTTTAGATCTGTATCAGTGAACTGCTCTATTGATTGTATTGTTATGAGAGGTTCTGTGAGTTTCTATGTTTTAATCTGTAAGCTGCCCAGAGTAGTGTTCCAGTAAAGAGGCAATATATAAATCAAATAAATCAGTAAATAAATAAATGAAAACAAAAAAGGTTGTTTCTTCACTGTGTTTAATTATGGACACGATTAACATGCACACTTCATTTTTTCTCCATATGATAATAACCATTCTTTGTTTTTACAGAGGAACACATGTACACAAAGTTAAACAGGTTCCTTCTGTCTCATCAATACTTGGATTTGAAGAAAGTGCCAGGATTTTTTCACCTCTTCTATAGTTTTGATACAGAGGTAATGGGGAAACTAAGTTGTGTGAATAGCCATTTCTAAATAGAGATGTTTTGCCTTTGACTCACTGCAGACAACATTTAATGCAAAACCTTGTACCTGCCAAATTCTCTCCAAAGTTCAGCTTTTATACTTTGTTTCTTTTCATGCAACCATGACTCTGATTGGGTCATCTGTATGATTGAATGCAGTGTGCAGGATCTTAATTCCAGGACACTGAGGAGTGCAAACGTTTCTAAATTAATTGTTCAAACATACAGATTTTATACTGCCTTGTTTGGACATTACCATTAAGCTTACCTTGCCAGTGTACAGCTTATTTCAAAACAGTTCTATATTGTTGTTGTGGGGTTTTCGGCCGTGAAAGCCTTCACGAGTATATTTCTATATTGTACTGCTTATTTCAAAACATTCTGCAAATGATCCACATGGAGAAATCCTACAAATAGAGTCTTCTTATGTAATATAAGAAATGTGCACTAATATGAAATCAGACATTTCTGGGTACAGAATATGTAAACTCCTCCCATATGCTGAGTGCAGATGCATTGGAGATAGATGGAGTTTTGTAAATGAGTTGAGTGGTTGCTAAGTTGGGTTATTCTAGATGAATCTTCTGTGTCATTCAATTCTGACCAGACTACAAAGGTCTAACAAACACAGAATTCAAGTTTTTGAGACTCAAGGTGTTCTCGAAGGCTTTCACAGCCAGGATCTGATGGTTGTCGTGGGCTTTTCAGGCTCTTTGGCCGTGTTCTGAAGGTTGTTCTTCCTGACGTTTCACCAGTCTCTGTGGCCGGCATCTTCAGAGGACAGGAGTCAGAACTTTGTCTGACTCCTGTCCTACTTTTTAAGACTCAGTTTGCAGGGTATGTTTTTCCCATTTGTTCTGCATCTGTAGTTTGAGACATCTCAACCCTATGAAGAGGAAATACAATGGAAAAGACCTATGATGTACTTAGTTTCCCTTTTGCTTCTTTACTTAATACTACCTTATGTTTCCTTTGGTTTTCCAGAACAAAATAGAACGTGAATGGGCCTTAGCCTTAATTGGGGAAGGACTCAGAGACAAGCACTGCTATGAACTGTATGATTATCAGAGAATTTTTCAGATCATTCTATCTTTCTTCCACAGTCCACTCTGTGATGAGGCCACCCAGGTAATGTAGACTTTTTTTTGTTATTAAAATTATTCCCATCCAGTCATTTATTATGCAGAAACAATCCAGATCATTCTGATGGGGCAGCTATGTTTTCTCTTATTTACCATGCTTTATCATTAATTTAAAATCTGATGCCATGATAAATTGGAAATATATCTGGTCATATCCATGCTGGTAATACTAGGAGTCTGGAAGCCCTACGTTTAAGCTCTTTTGAATATAGCTGGGCTTATTTCAAGTAGATATAGAATTGCTGTGTAACTTAAGATGACACATATACCAGCTAAAACCCCTCATATTTGCTAGTTAGATTGTAGCTATTATAGTGATTATGCATTAATAAAAAACAGAAAAGCTGAAAATAATATTCTATCTCCTAATACTTTAAAAAAAAAGCCTTGTTAAAATAAAGGCTTTGTGAACATTGAAAATAATAGACATTGGTACTTTTACATAAACAAATCAAATTAAACATACAGTGGTGCCTTGCATAGCGAGTTTAATCCGTTCCGGATTAACCCTCGCTATGTGAAAACATCGCTAAACGGAACATAAAAACCTATTGGGCCCTAAACTTACCGTTCAGCAAAGTTTCCTCCATAGCGGCAGCCATTTTCGCGCTCTTGGTAAGCCCATTTCGGGCGTCCGGCGGCCATTTTAGAACCGCTGAACAGCTGATCCGCGGGCATCGCAAAGCGAAGATCGGTAAGCGAAACGTTTACCGATCGTCGCTATGCGAGTTTTGCCCATTGCAACGATCAGTATGCCTCCGCATTAGCGATCCCAAAAAGGGGATCGCTATGCGGATTCGTCGTTGTACGGTGCGCTCGTTAAGCGAGGCACCACTGTATAGGTACTATCTCAAGGGTCCCTAAAACTCTTGTCTGTTATGACACAGAGGTGCCGTATTACTGCTTGAGTTGTATACATTTGAAGGAAAGCTTTTGAAGATAATGTTATTAAAAACAGTGAAACAATTCTAGAGGAACTGTAGTTTAAGCAACACTCTTCATATCTATTGGTCTATTTATCCAAGATGCGGTATTTTATCCTAATAATTCACATGATTAGAACAGGTTCATTTCTCCAGGACATGATCCAAGCAAGAATTCAAATAGCATTCAGTTCTGAAGTCAGTAATAGCAATCTCAGTCGTGGTGATGCAACACCTAAAAGTCCTGTGTATCGGATCAAAAATTGCTCTACAAAATCAGAATTATTCACGTACAGCAAAAGCCTTTATTATATAGCTTTAAGAAGTCAATGCATGAAAATAATTTACTTTATCATGAAATGAATAGTTATTAGCTCCTGCTTCAGAATGGCTATAGCTCTAATTATGATATGAACCAGACTGACTGAAATCTTATTGCTTAACATAGTAAGTTGCTCTAGAGTTGGCCTATTGAATCAGTGGGAAATTTGGTAAGGTACATCAGTTTCCCTGTAAGTTCCATTGATACAAAATGGCTTATTCTAGTTGCAACTCGCTAGGCTAGGGTTAGTTGCAATGAGAATAGTCCCACTTGAATTAATGGAACTTACAAAGGAGATGACTCACTACTCCCCCATTGAGTCCGTGGGCCTGATCCAGTGTGACTTACTACACTAAGCAACAGGATTTTAGTTACTGTAATTAAAAATAGGAAATTTATGCAATATAAAATATAACTGATAACACTTAAAGCAAAAATCTATTTTGCCAAGTATTGTGGGTTTGCACAATGTTATGGGTTGTATTTGATTTTCTTAGATCCCTCTTCCTTCTGTGCCTCCCCATCTGCTGGGATGGGTTGATTGATTATTCAGAACAATGTGAGAGATAATATAGGAGATACAGGCAAAAGAGGGAATTTGCAAAAATTGTGTCCTTCTGCCTGCTGTTCTTGGAGCAAGGAGCATTCTATGAGAGCTACAGTTAGGTACAGTCTTCCCACTTCAGAAGCTTAAGTAAAAATGTGAAGACATTGCACTGACATTTACCTTGTATTTTTCTGATGGTGGAGAAAAGTTTTATGAATCACTTATTTTATATATAATGTGCGGCAAACATGGAATGGCCTCTCAATCACAGTAAGAATGGGCTGAACAACATCTGTACCCAGTGCATGCTCAGTGATGCCAACCTATCTCCCTCTGGAATGCAAATAAAAACACACACAGCATGCCTTCCCTCTGGGCACTCAGCAATACTGTCCCCTTGTGAATAGGTTGGCCTTACCTGTGCTCAGCCTGGGAAATTAAAAAAAAACACAGTTAAGACTGGCACATCGTAGACCTATTGTATTTCTGACATAGACTGTGATGGTACAGAATCAAGCACATGGCCAACTGATTATACCCATTTGATGACTAATTCCATAGTGGTTACTATTTTCATCTTTTGCAGGAAAAAAAATTCATCAGCCTTTTAATTTTCAGCAAATTGTTTTATTGTATCTTAAACAGCAATATGTTTTATTTTGTCTTTCAGTATCAGATTCTGGAAATACTTCAAAATGCTTCATATATCACTAAAGCTGCCTATGAGTTAATAAGAGACCACAGCCTATTAACTTGGATATTATCAGTTCTGGAGAAAAGGTACAAAAATCACATTTCACAGCTTAGTGCTAAATACATGATTCCTTTCTTGTACATTTAAAAGCAAATAATTTTGTGAATTGTTAGGTGTTTACAGAAGAACATTGTAGGACATTAAAACAGTCTAAACATTTCTTTAACATCTCCACAATGTTAGGAAACCAGTATTTCAAATCAGATTTCAAACCTTGTATCAGATCGTTATGGGTTTTTTCGGGCTCTTTGGCCGTGTTCTGAAGGTTGTTCTTCCTGACGTTTTGCCAGTCTCTGTAGCCGGCATCTTCAGAGGACGGGAGTAGGAACTCAGTCCATGCTCTGTTGCTGTTTGTTGGATAGTTGAGTATTTATAGCTGTGGGAACAGGTTTTGTCCTTTTCAAGAGATAGGGTGATCAGCATGTTTTTGTTGTGGATGTATTGTTGTGATAAGTGGGAGAGATTATCTGTCACTGTGGTTGATGGGTGTCTTTAGCTGGTCTTTTTTGTCCAATGATCCCTGGTCCTTGTGGCTGGGTAGAGTTCGTTGACCTTCTGCAGGCTGTATTTTCCGATGCTGGAAGCCAGGCCTTGTTCAGTTTCCTCTTTTTTGTTGAAGTTATGCTGATGTTTATGAATTTCAATGGCTTCCCTGTGCAGTCTAACATAATGATTGCTGGTGTTGTCCAGTAATTCCGTATTTTGAAATAGATTTTCATGTCCAGCTTGTTTTAGGGCATGTTCAGCTACTGCTCATTTTTCTGGTTGTTTTAGTCTGCAGTGTCTCTCATGTTCTTTGATTTTGGTGTGAATGCTGCGTTATGTGGTTCCAAAATAAACCTGTCCACAACTGCAAGGTATCCGGTATACTTCTGCAGTGGTGAGGGGGTCCCTTTTGTCCTTGGTAACATTTGTTGTATTTTTGTGGTGGGTCTGAATACTGTTTGTAGGTTGTGTTTTCTCAAAAGTTTTCCCATGCGGTCCGTGACCCCTTTGATGTATGGCAGAAATACTTTATTTGTGGGTGGCTATTTTTCCTCTTCAGTTTGGTGTTGTTTTCTTGGTTTGATAGCTCTTTTGATTTCATACTTGGAATAGCCATTCGACTATAGGGCCCAATTCAGATGGTTGAGTTCAGTGCTGAGAAACTGAGCTTCACATTTCCGATTTGCACGGTCTACCAGTGTTTTGGTTATGCCTCTTTTTTGTCATGGGTGGTGGTTGGAGTTTTTGTGTTCTGTGATCCTGATACAGTAGTTCTCTACTTTGTGCCCCTTGTATGTTTTGGAAAGCACTTTTTATTACATGTGTGCCCTACCTATTGTTTTATGTTTAAGAGGATAGAGTGACATTTGATAAGTTTATGAAATGCAGCGATAATCAGGATTAAAGTTAGTATGGATTCATTAAAAGCCTAATCAGTTACTGAGAAAAGTGAAAGTCCAAGCTTGTCTTCTCTTTGAGAAAAAAATGCAAATTCTTCAAAAGGCTAATTTCCTTATATAAAGGTTGCACACAATGAAGATACTTTATGGAATATTTTATACTTCTATGAAAAGAAATGTAAATAACCATGTGTCTACTATTTTATTGTGAAACACTGCCGCTGAAGAGTGTTTTATTGCTTAGTTACACCAACAATCTTTATAGCACATATTATCCCTGTACAAAATAAAGAAAAAAGTTTCATTTTTCCCTTGAAGTTTTAATTCCTAAAATCTAGTTGAAGAAAGATGCTTTTTCCACACCATTTTTTCAAATGACCAGAAAAAAAGGGGGGGGTAGCCTCTTGTTTCTTTCTCCGCATGAGGGTTACCATGGGTGGGTGGGGGGCATAGCTGGCCGCACAGAAGGGTAGCAGATCTCCTGCTGGAGGGGAGAGCTTATTGAGCCCTGCTTTCATAGCAGTGAAAGACAGGTTTAGGATTTTGTGAAGTTAGCTTCTTGAGATTGGCAGTACTGCAAGAAAATGAGAGGAAGTTTAAAAGATTTCCTTCGCTGTGCAGGAAACCAAGATTTCCCCCCCTCCTTTTGTTTACTGTACTTATATACTGATGTATAAATGAAATGAAATGCTTTTTGCAAGCAAAATAATGTTTAAATAAAAATTTGTTTCCCTTTTTGTTTATACTTCCTAGGTTTCTAGAAAACAAGATATTAAACCATGTGATTTCCTTAGTCCACACTCTTTGGGTAACCAATTTAGGAGATAAGCAAAAGTCACTTGGAATGATTAGCAAGGAGTTACAGAAGGACCAGAAATTCCTTCCTCTCCAGCTTATCAGTGAATTTCTCCACATTTTGATCATGCTTCTTAAACACATTCGGTGAGTATCTTCTCCTTTTTTCATGTAGATGTAATACCATTTTACATAGTGTTTTCATAGTGCTCTGAGTTTTTGTAACCCTTGAAAATGAACCCTTTGCTTTTAATTGCAGCTAACTACTTCTTTTACTCTCCCCCAATTAGCTGTTTCATCTGAGCAAGAATTGCATTGGTTATCACTTGCTTCCTGAAAAATATTCTTTAAAACAGTGTCTAGAATCCCGTTGGTACAACGTATGTTATGGAAGGCTAATGATGTCACCAGCAACTACAGTTTTTTTGAAATTAAACTTTTCTAACTTCTGTCCCAAAGCTCTTGTGTAATCCCTTTCATCCTTGAGAAACTATGGGGGAAGATGCAAGCTGAAAGGGCAGTCTTTTAATTCTAAAAACTGCTACTGCTGCTAAAGCCACCCTGGCAGTGGCTGTTTTTTTTATAATTAAAGACTTCCCTCTCCTTTCCCATGGACCCCAAGGCTTCCCAAGGATGAAAGGAATAACATGGGAGCCTCAAGAGTTTTGGGGCAGAAGTCAGAAATGTGTAATTTCTGAAAATTATCACTGCTGCTGATGCCATCAGTAGCATAAGTTAAACTAAAAGGATTTCAGCAATTAATTTTAGCCATTATTTGTATTAAATAAATAATCTTAGCTAACACTGTTTTTTTTAAATCTTTGAATCTACAAAACAGGGCCAGCTTGGATACTGCTAAATTGATTCAGTTTTTCAGCACATTACGTTCTGTGTTAGACTACCGCCTTGTAGTTATTGAAGCCTTCAAAGACATGGGCAGATTCACCGTGAATGAGCATGTCCTTTCAAACAGAGATGTTCTGCTTATCTTACACAAGTGGAGCATAATTGGGAAAGATGTGGAACTCCAAGATGATCTGCAAGCAATTGCAAAACAGTATCAAATCAAAGAATTGCTTAGTAAGTTTTAAGCTCACTGTTGGTTTAAGGTAGATCATTTGCTTTCTCTTTGAATTCTATCAAGGCAAATATTCTTGAGAAACTCTAGGAGCCAGAATCAAAAGTAAAATTAATATATTTTAAATGGTGTTTTTATTTTTTGTGTTCTTTATTTCATCAGTCATGTCCCAGCCAATAGAATTTTAGGTCTCAGTGGCTGAAGCCCAGTAGTATGTTGCTATTAGAGTAGGCCCAATTAATCTGTAGGAATTTGGTGAGTCAAGACTTAAATAAATTCAGTTGATTCAATGGGCTTACTCTAATTGTGACTTACTGTTGGATTTCAGCCATTATTTTAGGTACAATCATTTGCATAATTGTAAGGCTTTTCTGTTGAAAATAAGTTGAAGTGTTTAATTGTGCTAACCTACATACTAATTCTGTCCATGGGTACAGTATTACCACATTTGTGAATTCTGATGTAGCTTGTTCCTAAACCTTTTAAGTATTTAGATTTCACTGCTACTGAAAAAAAAGTCAAAGCTCAAAAAAGACACTTGTACTTAGAAATAAGTGTCCCAAATCAATATTCCATTCACTTGTTGAGAAACAATATAACAGAATAATTAGGATTACTCTGTATTTTATTTCTAGTACCTATCTGACTCCTTTTAGATATACTCATATTGTGTAAAATGGTAATCCCTAATAATTATTATTCACATGTCCTTTTTAAAAAATGAAAACAAGTGGTAATTGCAACTTTGGGTTACTGCTGATCTCATATGCCAGCGTGGCATAGAAAATAGAGCCTCTATAGATTAATCTTCTTCCTGCCAAAATCTTCATGGGGAAGGGATAACTAAAGAAGGCATGCGTGTGGCATCAGATTCTATATTAAAGTTTGGGAACATGGAAAGCTGTCATATACTGAGTTTTACCATTAGACCATTTAGCCTGGTATTGCGAATTGCCAGAGTCTCCCTAGGATTTGAGGCATGGTTCTTTCCCTTCCTGTCAGGAGACTCCTGGTAGCTTCCCACCCACATATATCAGTGAAGACCTTTCTCTTCAGCCAAGCTTTCCCTCAGTGACTGGCTGCCTGAGTGTGATTTTTTTAGATGCATCACTGCTTTGACTGTGTTTTTAGTATTGTGTTTCCCAGTCCTAGGAGGGGTATTTTGTTTGTTCCTTTTAAATATTTCTATACTTAGCATGTTTAACTTTAAATACTGACTTTTAATGGTGTACACCACCTTGTATACTCATAGTTTTTTCCTTAAATATTGTCCTTTTCTAAAGAGAAAGGTGGGGTATTAATTAATTAATAAAGACTCTCCAGTCCCAACCATACTTAATTTTACAAGATCAGATAAACTCAGGGTTGGTATAGCATTTCTTGTCCCTCTCCTTTTTTAAAAAAAGAAGCGCTTGAAGAATATCGAATAAATTGCTTCTATTAACACTGATTTTAAAAGCAAGATAGTATAATAATGTTTCATTTGAATTATATTATTAGCTATAATTGATATAAAATTTGTGGAGTTCAAGTTTTCACAAGGTAACTGTTAGTATACGTTTGGACTTTTCAGTGACAGGATATTTATCTTGTTGCAATTTATTTGAATGTTTAACATTAAGTTATAAATACAGTCGAAGAGTAGCTGATTCTGTCCAGCGGCATCACTAAAATCTATTCTTCTCTAAATCTATGCCTCATTAATAGTTTTTAAATTATTAATATTTTCCCCATCCCCCTAGAAACTACTATTTTGTTTTGTTATTATAATATTGTAAATGTTGTTTGTTTGCTTGCTTTTATCACAGAAAATATTAAAGAAAAAAACAAATCAGAGATACTGTTTCAAACATCAGCCCAACACTTTCAGAAGACAAAGGAAACTGAAAGAGAGAAAGAAACCGCTGCTGATTGGAAACAGTTTCATTTAGAAGAATGCAAATCTACTCTAAGATTTGTTCTTATCCACTGGGAACCTGTATTTCTGGATAAGGCTTTAAAACATCAAAAAGAGCAGAATGGATATGACAATCCTAGTCTTACATATAAGACTGCTTATATAGTATTGAAATGGCTTGTTAAGTCCCACATTGGCAGCACATTCAACATACAGCATGCACTTTTTATATTTAGATGGTTTAAAAATAATGTTTTACAAAACAGCACAGTGGTAGAGGAGATTCTTAGAGATGGAGCATTGAAAAGTGGCATGTTTAAGATTTATAGCAGCATCTGGAATGCGTATGAAGAGAAGGCTGTGGAACTAAGTGATCTCATTCTGCTTAATGGGATTATGTTTGACCTGCTAGATTCTCAGGATGTCACAAAAAATGACTTTCATGAAACTATGAAAAATTTTTGGTGTTCTGCCATGACAGAGGAAGACACAATGAGGAAAGGTAACTTCTTTTATTTTCATAAAGCAGCAACAATATCTGTATCAATCTACAGTGGTGCCCCGCATAGCGAGGTTAATCCGTTCCGGATTAACCTTCGCTATGTGAAAACTTTGCTAAACGGAACGGGGAAGCCCATTGGAATGTTCCAAATGGGCACAAAACACACCGTTTAGCGAAGTTTCCAGGGTCCGGCAGCCATTTTCGCGCCCTCGGTAAGCGAGGGGAGGGTGCGAAAACGCTGCGCGCGGCCATTTTGGGCGTCTGGCGGCCATTTTGAAACCGCCGAACAGCTGATCTGCGGGCGTTGCAAAGACAGCAACAGTATCTGTATCAATCTATTTATCTGCTACTCCACAATACTACTTTACCTCTAGAATAAATCAACAGATAACCAGTAGTGTAGAACATGGTCTTCAAAATTAATTGAAAAACTAAATAAGCTCAATATGCTTAAGTATAAATTAACAACAGAAACAAAGGTTTCAGCCTCTGCTATAGCATTCTTTCTCCTATTTTAAGTGGGTACTTCTTGGACATCTATTAATGAAAGATGGATCAATATTGGGAGTAAAGGGGGTTATAGTGAATGATCAAATGCTTCAGAAGAGGCTACTCCACAATACTACTTGACCTCTAGAATAAATCAACAGATAACCAGTAGTGTAGAACACGGTCTTCAAAATTAATTGAAAAATTAAATAAGCTCAATATGCTTAAGTATAAATTAACAACAGAAACAAAGGTTTCAGCCTCTGCTATAGCATTCTTTCTCCTGTAAGCGAAACGCTTTCTGATCTTCGCTATGCGAGTTTTGCCCAATGGGGCTGACGCTATGCCTCGTTATATGGTGTGCTCGTTAAGCGAGGCACCACTGTATTTATCTGCTACTCCACAATACTACTTGACCTCTAGAATAAATCAACAGATAACCAGTAGTGTAGAACACGGTCTTCAAAATTAATTGAAAAATTAAATAAGCTCAATATGCTTAAGTATAAATTAACAACAGAAACAAAGGTTTCAGCCTCTGCTATAGCATTCTTTCTCCTGTTTTAAGTGGGTACTTCTTGGTCATCTATTAATGAAATATAGATCGGTATTGGGAGTAAAGGGGGTTATCATAGTGAATGATCAAATGCTTCAGAAGAGGCATAATGGAAACTTGTTTAAAATATGTAGAATACACAGAGGGTGGAAATTAACTTTTTAGAATTTGACTTTAATTATCTTTTTTTCTTCTTTTAATTTACAAGCTGCAAGTACGTTCCTCACCTCTATTTATATTGGAGACATCTGGCTGGGAGCAAAGCAACCACATTTGTTTTTAACTCATGTTAAACTGGTTTGTGAAGCAACAGATATGAAGCCAAAGTATGACTGGAAAATGTGGGACTGTGAAAAAGCTATGGTTCTTCTGTGCAAAGAGATTTACTCATTGTTAATTCTTCACCCTACTTTTAAATCCTAACTGTCAAGTATGTGCCATGCTTTTCTAATCTCTAGTTCTTAAAACAAATTATGTAAAGTGTCTATAGGAAATTATTTTAATACCTGTATTTTCTATTTCTGTATAAGAAACATTAAACTGCTGTAATTTTGAAGCTATTTTTTAAAATATATATATATATTCTATTCTTCCAGAATTTGTCATAGCTTGGTATTACTACGTTCCTAAATAGGTATCTACGTCAAAGGAAAGACAAAAAGGACTTGACATTAGAATGGTTGGTTGTAAGTTAAATTATTTTACACTAAAAAAACAAGCATAGGATAGAATAGTGCTAACATATTGTGCTGCAGTACCCCATTCCATTTATTCATAAATTACTATCAGAGAATGACAGGTTGATATACAATAACTGTAACAAAAATGGCAATGCAACCACAACAAAACAGCATTAAAAGGCAATAAACAATATAACACAAGTGAACTGACTAAACAGAAACGTCTAAGCAAACAGAAGTGTTGATGTGATACCAATTGACTGCAAAATTAGCAGTGACCTGAGTTCTGTGGGGAGGGTATTCTATTAACACCTTTTCCAAATTGTCACTTATCAAGAAGATAAAAGATAAAAGATAAAAACAGTCTCCCTGGTTGATCTTAAGACTAAGCAAGTTGCTATAGAGAGAAGCATTCTTCCACCTATGGGATGTTGCTGGGTCTCTCGGGGTTTTGTTGTTCAGCAGCAGGACTTTGAATTGGGATCAGAAGCAAACAGGCAACCAGTGCAGCTCTCTTTAAATCTACAGAATTTGATTTTTTAATTTATTTTATTTTTATTTTTATATTATTTTAATTTTTTATTTTAATTTTTTCTATGGATGAAATTTGGTAGTAGATTGCAGTTAGAGAAAGCCCATGGAATCAGTGGGGATTTCTTAATTCAGCATCTTTACAATTTCCAGTAATTCAGTGGGCCTACTTCTAACTTGTTACTGGATTTCATTCTCCATCTTTTTCCTATATTGTAACGATCACATTCTACTCCAGTTGAAGATATTAAAGGATGAATGTCATGAATAGACTGTCCCTAGCCAGAAATGATCACGGCTAATAAAAGGCCCTCTGAGGCTGCTTTTTTGTTATTATGTGTCAAGTCGGAACCGACTTATAGCAGTCCTAGGGTTTTCAAGATAAGTGAGATACTTAAAAAGTGGCTTTACCAGTTCCACTCTCCCATTGCATTTCATAGCTCAACCAACAACGGACAATAGCAACTTCATTTTAAAATAAAACTGGTAAATTCCCTAAAGTAAATTAAATGGTATCATACTTAATAATAATTATAAGTACAGTGGTGCCTCGCTTCACAATGTTAATTTGTTCCAGCGAAATCGCTGTAGAGCGAAAACATCGTAAAGCGAAATTAAAAAGCCCACAGAAACGCATTCAAACCCGTTTAATGCATTCTGATGGGCTGGAAACTCACCGTCCAGTGAAGATCCTCCATAGGACGGCCATTTTCGCTGCCTGTGCAGCGAAGAATCTGTCCCAGAAAACAGTGGGGGCCAGTTTGTTTACCCGGCGGCCATTTTAAAACTGCTGATCAGCTGTCCAAAAATCATCGTTTTGCGAAGAATCGGTTCCCGAAGCAGGGAACCAATCATCGCAAAGCGAAATTCCCCCATAGGCAACATCGTAAAGCGATCGCAAAAGCGACTGCATAAAGTTCATCGTAATGCGGTTTCGTCGTTAAATGGAGCGATTGTAAAGCAAGGCACCACTGTATTTCTTTTTGGTATAGGTATAAGTACACTGTATTATTGAATATTGAATTCCCAGAGTGCTAAAATGCTTCAAGGGGCTTCATTCTAAATCCTACATTGCTGGAAGAAATACCAAAATAGTATACATGGGAAAAATTGTTTTTATGGAGTTTTTAATATCAGCTTCAGCAAATCAGCACACCCGATTTGCCTTAGCAGATTGCAAAGATAATTCTTCCTTTAAAACTAGGAAATTCAATTATTTAAAAAATGTCAGACATACAACCCAATGAAATATTTCCAGGTTAGTTTGCAATTTCCACTTACATTACAGAAAACACTATAGAAAATAATCTACAGTTAAATTACTAAAGGATTAGTGAAGACCATATTTTGACCATGCCCATATTTGTTTTAAGATTTAAATTCAACTCTGAAATGCTCATTTTTCTATATTACACCTGAAGTAACTACTTGATTTTATTCATTTAATAACTTCTATCTGTAAGAAAGTGCTCTGAACTGATTATGTACTTTCAAGAAGATGCTTCCAACCCTGTATCCTTCTGTGATCATGTTAAAATACAATCCACATTTCAACTTTTAAACTTAAATAACTCCGGGAGGCAGTGGAAGATAGGAGGGCCTGGCGTGCTCTGGTCCATGGGGTCACGAAGAGTCGGACAGGACTAAACGACTAAACGAAAACAAAAGTACAGTGCACATTTTAACTGTGATGATTCAAACCGTATTTCTCAAATTATGATACTGTACAATGACCTACTATTTGAACAGATCCCCTCTGTTTTTTCCACTTGATCATCTACAGAAGTTGATCTGGCATGATTAAAGTATTTTGACGAATACTGAATCCTTTTCTATGCTCTTCCATTCCTGTGAATAAATTAAATTAAATTACAGAATACTACATTGCCAGTGACACAGACTTTCAGTAATAGCATATACCCAACACAGAAGGCAGTTTATTTCTTTATTTTGATTTATGCATTACACTTGGACCCCAACTTTGCTTCCAAGAGTTCAAAACAGCATAATGGACCACTCTTCTTTTTTTTTCACAACTACCATGTGAAGTTGGTATGTCTGAAAATTATTTGAGGGCAGTGAAGGGAGCTTCATGCCCGAGTAGTGACTTGAATAGTCACTAATTTGCAACTTCATCACTCTTAACTCCAGAAAGTTGAAGTCCAATGATACTGGAGAACCACAACCAAGCTGCCCCTTTCTGTTCTACACCCTCCCTGCCAATGTGCACCTGAAAAGGAACATTGTTCATCTGTATAGTTTATTGAAGTGGAATGTCAAATCAGACCAAAGCCCTCTGAAAACAATGGCTTTTCACACCTGTCTCATGTACAGGAATTCCACAGTTCTACTCTGTGTGCATGTGTGTCATGTCCCAATAGCTGTAACCACTTTACAGTAATACTAAGAGCCTTCAAGGTAACTGAGGTATTTAAGAAATGGTTTTACCAGTTCCACTCCCCCTTCCCAAATTTTCATGGCCAAGCATCAATTCAAATCCAAGTCTCCCGAGTTCCAGTCCATCACTCTGTCCAGTACACAACACTGGGTATCCTATTTAAATAGAACTAATTCTACATTTAACCAATAACATTTCTTAGCCATATTTTCATGTTACAGAGAATATGCATCTTTATACATTTCCTTGAAAGATCCAAGTAAAGGCTTTATAATATGCAGAAATCGGGGGGGGGGAGTTATGCCAATTACCACCTGAAATCTCTCAGAGAAAGTGTGAGTGAAAGGTGTTACAGAAGGCAAAAGGCTAACTCAGACAATGGTTTCAGGCATCATAAAGCACCACAGAACAGAAAAGCACCTTACTTCTTTGGTGTATGATCCAGCCGAGATATGTAGAACAAAATGAAGAAAAGAAATGCCACAAAAGAAATTAGTCCAATCCAAAAAGCAATGACAATTGAATCTGTTGAAAGAAACGTTATAATAACAAATCTGACAGAACTTATGAACATTTAATATATGTTTTTCTTACTAAATAGTTTTACATTCAATGCTGCTTTTTCTGTGGGGAATTGAGATATGGTGATTGGAATTATACAGCTTTTATTCATTTGTAAAAATTCAAACTATATACGGTATATATATTTCTAAATTGGTGTATTACAGCCTTCTCTATTAGTTTTCTAATGTCACTGAGCCAGTTGTTGTTCTCTATCTACAAAAATTAAATTTTATCCTGGCTGTTCTAATCTATTTTAATCCATGCTATATTCCTTCCAATTAAATAAATAGTTTAATTCTACATTGAAAAAGTAAAATGTAGGACTATTCAGATTAATACCAAACCACTGCCTAATCAGCATACTATTTAGATGTGTATTTGAAAGAGGGGGCCTGTTTAAATGTGTAACATTGCACAAGTCTGTCACTTAATACAAAGAATAAAATCTGTTCAAGTATTTGAATAGATACTCTAACAAAAACTGAAATATTCAGTTGGGTCTAAACGTGCCATGCTAAAAACAGACCAGATGAAATCAATGGGATTTACCGTATATTAGTCTGGAAGAAATTAAAACTCACCGATTCCAAAAGTTTTACTGTTAAAAGCCTAGACTGTTAATTTTTTACCTACTCAACCTGGAAGCAATTCTCATTTAATTCTGAGTAAATGTGCAAACTTTTGCACTACAGTTCTAGATCCAAGCTAATTAAAATTTAAAAGAAACAGTTTAATAATGTTTAGAGTCCATTCATGTGCATACATATTTGGGAATAAAGTTTACTGAATTCACCAGAGCCCCTAAGCAGATATGCATAGGACTAAATACTTAATTTGGTACTGACTCTCAGCAAATTATTAGGTAAGAAAAAAATAAAACCCTAAAATCTAAAGGAACTATTTTCAGGCAGAAAACAGGTCTCCACGTAGATGAACAGATGGTACAGCCATAAAAATCTATTGTGGAAGAAGGGATGTCTGCAATTTCCTGCACTGGGCCCACCTTAGTGTGTGAATACCATGTTCTGTAATAAAAACATTTTACATCTGAAAGGTTTACACTTTTATTTTAGTTTCCCCTTTTGTATAAAGGTAAAATAGCAGTACTTACATCTGTTTGCCTCCAGCTTATTGGCATCAACAGGAAGAATGTCCAAATAATCCATGTAATATTCAAAAGACCAAATATAATCAGATATATTTGTCTGGTTAGCCATAGTGGTAGTACCTCACAGGCAGCTCAGAATTCTAACCCTGACGCACAATTATGTTAAATGGTCCTTAGCTGTTCACTACAAAAGGTTGTATAACTGAGTAAATTGAATTTATTTGACTGGTTCTCACAGAATGCCTAGATACGGGACTGACCTTCATTTCTGCTTTGAGGATTGCTGCCTCATGTCAAAATGACACACGATCATTCCTTGTGAGGCTGTAGTTCAGTCTTGTTATCTGCAATGTATACAAAGGAGAGAGCATAGCAGTCAAATTAATTAGTTCATCATCATTCTCTGTGTACTTTCTGCATTTCATTTTCCTTTTATTCATTTAAAGCTAACCTTCCCCAACTGTATGCACATTCATTAGCTGCTAGGGAAAGCACTTGATAGATTTGAAGAAATGCATTGTAGTCTGTGAATGCTTATGCATAGTACAATTGTCTGTCTTTATGGCGCATGGGACTATGCTGCAGTGCTGCAACTGCGTAATGTGGTTTGGCATTACCGTGGGAGAAAATAATGCCAGTGAAGGATTCTTAAGACACATTGTTGCCCCAGTTAAAGAAAAGACCAAGACAGCACCCACCACCTTAAATTGCAATACGTAAACAGAAGTAAACTGGACTGGATTGAATTTTACTTCAGTACTAGTGATAGAAAGAAAGTGAGGAGGAACTAAAGAACCTCTTAATGAGGGTGAAAGAGGAGAGTGCAAAAATGGTCTGAAGCTCAACATCAAGAAAACTAAGATCATGGCCAAAGGTTCCCTTAACCTCCTTGCAAATAGAATTGGAAGATATGGAGGCAGTGACAGATTTTACCTTCTTGGGTAAGGTAACCACTGCAGATGGTGACAGCAGCCACAAAATTAAAAGATGCCTGCTTCTTGGGAGGAAAGCGATGAAAAACCTAGACAGCATCTTTAAAAGCAGAGACATCACCTTGCCAACAAAGATCTGCATAGTCAAACCTATCTATGGTTTTTCCAGTAGTGATGTATGGAAGTGAGAGCTGGACCATAAAGATGGCCGACCACTGAAGAATCGATGCTTTTGAATTGTGGTGCTGGAGGAGGCTCTTGAGCGTCCCCTGGACTGCAAGGAGAACCAACCTATCAATTCTGAAGGAAATCAGCCCCGAGTGCTCACTGGAAGGACAGATCCTGAAGTTGAGGCTCCATTACTATGGCCATCTCATGAGAAGACTTCCTGGAAAAGACCCTGATGTTGGGAAAGTGTGAAGGCAGAAGGAGAAGGGAACGACAGAGGACGAGATGGATGGACAGTGTCATTGAAGCCACCAACATGACTTTGACCCAACTCCGGGAGGCAGTGGAAGACAGGAGGGGCTGGCGTGCTGTGGTCCATGGGGTCACGAAGAGTCTGACATGACTAAACTCAACTAGTGACAGGACACAATACCTGAGAAATAACAAGTCATTTTAGGACTCCACAGAAGGGAATAGCTGGGAAGTTCAGAAGCTGTCACTTGTGATGGAAATCTCTATGCCAACCCTGCTGCTAACAGGTGGCTGGGCAACAGTAAATAACACTGCTGTGACAGTGCTTTTAAGGATTACTAAACTATAGTAACAACATTCTTGCTTTTTGTCATCTACATACTGCTGCCATCTCGGTTCATAAAATCCTTCAGGATACTGTACTCCCTTTGTTAGAGAAGGCTGGATACATAATTCAGCAACAAACACAAAAGCCAAAAAATGTTTTCTTTTGTTTCTTGCTGACTTGCTTACACAGACTAACATCGCTACAGCTTGGATACATAATAGAAATCAAGCAACCCTGCCCTAGATTTACCGACTCTTTTAGAGACAACCAAATTTTTAGAAAAAGTACTGTGGCATCGTTGAGACAAGTACACCAATTCCTGAGCGAGCTTGGATGGAGTGCAACCCGCTTTTTCAGGTCTTTAAGGAAATGGAGCTCAATTCAAGAAAAGAACAAAACACTGAACTAGTTCCCCGCAGTTGATTAAATAGGTGGAGTAGGAAGAAGGGTTTTTTTACATCCAGTCTTTTTTTATTTCCCCCCCGCCGCCCGTTCTTTGTATTTTACAATGTGCTTTTATTATTTTTGCGTTACTTTCTGTACACCACCCAGAGCAGCAATTTGCTGGATGGGCGGTATAAAAACTAAATACATAAATAAACAAACTATATGAACCAAGTCTCAAAACTGTCACCTTATTGAAAGCAAAACAAATGGTTACTATTCTATCAGATTCTATTCAGCTTTGCTCGGAAGGAAATTCCACTGAATTCTCGTCCCTCGAGACAGAAAACAGTCACAAGGCGGCGAGGACAACCTTATTAATAGACTCGGCGGTCTTTTCCCCAAGCGCCCCTGCGAGGAATCGCCCCCCCGCCTCAGAAGAAGAGCAGGCGCAGGCGCAGAAAAGTTAGGAACAATCGGGACTCCTTTCTCTTTTCAGAAAGGGAAACGAGAAGGAGCATTTTTTGTGCTAGAGCGTCACCGTATAGACGGGCTATTTCCGGGATTGGTGCAAAAAAGAGGGGAGGGGAGCGGCGCGGGCGGCTTGAACGAGAATGGCGGCCGTTCCAATGGAAGAGAGCTCGTTGTCCTTCGCGGTGTCCCCCGCGAGTCCCCCTGGGGTCGGGAAGAAGGAAGGGCCGGGCGCGGAAGAGCTGCCCATGGTGTTCCTGTGTGCCGGGTGCAAACGCCCCGTCGGAGATACGCTCAGCTGGGAGACCAACGACGACGACACCGACTGCATCTTGCTGAACAGTGGGTGTCGACGCGCGCGCCCGGGTCTGTGGCGCTCGCGCGCTTCTCCCGCTGTTTTTGGGGCGCGGGGGGAAGGGAGGGGGTTCCCTTCCTCTCTGCCCCCAAGCGGGAGGCGCTCGCGGCTTGTCTTCCTTCAGGCAGGACGTTAATGGTCAGGGCTGACCCAAGACTTTTTGCCGCTTGAGGCGGAAAAACCTTAGACTGGAAGTGTGGAGTCCGCGCATTTTAAAAAAAAAACTAAAAAAAAAACTCATTTCATCTCCTTGGTAAATAAAAAGAAAGGAGGCTGAAATAGACGCAGCACCTGAAACATTAACATCTGCAGGAGCTTTTGTGGCTTCTTCAGATGTAAATATGTAACAGGAGAGAAATGCTTTAATTGAGAAATAGAAAAATTTAGATATGTTAAGGTGTGAGATCAGTTTTCATTCTACATGTCTCTGTTCGACGGTGTAGACTCTTGCCAGGTATTGTTCATCTTGTAAAACTAGAGCTGAAATATTTAGATCTCACCAAGTGATGTTGTGTCACTAGAAGAGTAGCTCATATATTTTAATAAATTTGTACCATGTCCTTCCCCCCCCCTCTCCCAGCAGAACTATATCAACCTATTTTTGCATTACCTGTGGATGGTGTAAAGGAGCTGGGAGTATTATGTTCTGCATTCTCCACTGAGTTTTCTATTCTGCTCACTCTACTTACTATTAAGTAAGGAGATAAGAGGGAGGGCTTGTAGAGAAAGGGCCTTTTCGGCAGCTGCCCCGAGACTATGGAATGCCCTCCCGACTGAGATTCGTCTAGCGCCGACACTGATTACATTTCGGCGCCAGGTCAAAACCTTCCAGTTCCAAATGGCTTTAACTGAAATAATATCAGCTGTAGGTCTGATGGCAATTTTTAGAATATATATTTTAATTGCATTTTAATTATTTTGCCCTTTTATTTTGCCTTTTTATTGTATTTTAAATGCTGTAAGCCGCCCAGAGACCTTCGGGTAGTGTGGGCGGCATATAAGTTAAATAAATAAATAAATAAATAAATAAATATTAATATCTTTCAATTTTCAGGTGTGACTCTCAATGTATCAGTGGACAAGGAGCAAAAACTTTCAACCCAAGCAGGTGAATATGGCTGGTAAGTAAACCCTGAAAGTCTCCCAAATGAACCTTGAAATTATCTTGTAGTAGAATTTTATGTTGGAGTGGTGAGCACGCCATTTTGAGGAAGCTAACTTGCACTGTTAACTTACAATGCTTTCAATTTTCAGGTGTGACTCTCAATGTATCAGTGGACAAGGAGCAAAAACTTTCAACCCAAGCAGGTGAATATGGCTGGTAAGTAAACCCTGAAAGTCTCCCAAATGAACCTTGAAATTATCTTGTAGTAGAATTTTATGTTGGAGTGGTGAGCACGCCATTTTGAGGAAGCTAACTTGCACTGTTAACTTACAATGCCTGTGAAGGCTAATATGCAACATGCTTGCCCTCTTTAATAAACAGAGTAGGGAGTATTCCTGATTGTATTTAATACAGTGGTGCCTCGCTTAACGAGCGCCTCGGTTAACGTCGAGTTAATGAATGTCTTATCCCAATATTTATAGCTCTTACTACTTGTTTTCCTTTCCTCTTACCTATAAAGAAATCTTATCTGCAGTCTTGGAAGTCCAGATACTTAAAAATCCAAGAATACTTTTTTCCCCAGTGGGAAGTTGGGTTGTTGTTGCATATATATTGTAACTCTGTAATCTATAAGCTACTGAGCTGCCATTATACTGATAACGATTTTTGTTTTGACAAACCATTTTTGCATAATTTATATGAACATAGTCCTGTGGATTAAAAAACCTAGAATCTTGGAAAAGCTGAATGTTCTAATACAGTGCATTGGAATACAAAAAATGCAAACCATAAGACATGCATACATCATATCTGTGTTGAAACAAAACCATCATTCAGTTGCTAGGATTGTTTATGATTTATTGACCTTGCTTAGATGGAGCTAACTAATTGTTGTGGTACATTAATTTGAAAAACAATAGTAAACTATTTCCAAGCCTCACTTTTAAATATCATTTTATTTTCAGGGCACCTTTTTTCTGCATTCTCTTAACTGTATTTTAACAGCTTATACATACAAATTTCAAATATTGACAAGCTTAACTTACTTCATATGTTTAATGAAAATATATCCTCTCTTTAAAATGTGTAACGAGGCATTAGTTTTTTCGGTCTGAAAATGTTTGGCACAATTTGCTTCACTGGTACAGGAAATTCTAAATAAGATAATTATGTCTAAAATGGTAAACTGAACGTTTTGCTTTACAGCCTGCTTGAAACCTTGTTTTGTTCTGGGTGCAACAAAATACTTGGAAGCATTTACAGATGTACCCCAAGACATCTTGACTATAAACGAGATTTGTTTTGCTTAAATGTTGACTCTCTAGAAAGGTAAGAAGGAAAAGATCTTGTTTGCCAATATATTATCTTCGTTATCCTTTATATAATGAGCTCTTAAGAATGCTCTTAAATCTTGGCAGCTTTTTCAATAATTCTCATATTAGACAAATTTGCTGGTAATTACTTGATCCACTTTTCTGTTCTGTAAACTAATGGAACATTGTTTGGCAGCTCTTCCTCCCCCAAAGAGTATCCTCCCCCCCCAATTTCTCTGGCCAGTCTGATGTCAGAATTGGCCTTGCTTGCATTCAAGGAGGTATCTGAAGGAAAATTCTGTTCATTCTTCTTTACTTCTCCCCTCTTTCCCATCTTCTTGGTGTAAAACAGCCATCTCTGCTAAGATAAGATTTTAAAGGTCTATCTATTGCAGCCAGCAAAAAATTAAGAGAGAAATTAGTATGCATTGCTGAAATCTAGTAGAAAGTATGGTAACTAGATTTGGTCCATTGAATTGTGACTCAACTCCTACTTAGGTTCCATTGATTCAGCAGGTTACTCTAGTTGTGGCTTATTACGCTGTATAGTTGTGTGTGAGGCAATTATAGTTACCATGCATTTTTTTTTACCAGCCATTGAAATTAACACTTAATCCTTTAATTTTATGAGGATATAAGAAGTTTGCAGCTGTTTACATTTAAAAAAAAAGATTAAATATTTTCATTAACCCTGGCTTTAATTTTCCTAATATCCATTGCTCCAAATTCAAGTGTTTCTTCACATTATACAGAGTAATACAACCATAATGAGACAAAAGGTGCTGCATACCATTTTTTATGATACATGGTATTGCACTCCATTTGTTATTTCTGTTGGTGTTCATAGTCCAATAACTATGATGGGTTTGTACACAAATGCATACCTAATCATAGGTATAATGTTTGCAAATTTCTAATCATCATCCCTTCTAGTTCTAATACTGGACTTTGTGGTCCAAGGTTTTTCAATTCAGCAGAAAAACAAGGCTGCCTACAGGTGAAAAACATGGTTTCTGTATACATGGGTATTGATGGGGATGGGGAGAACTCTGAAAATTTGTTGGTGGTTGAGCTGGAAGCCATATTTTAACCTTAACCATTCAGTACTATATTAAACAAGAGGAGATCTTTTTCCTCCTGCAACCAAGCAGTATGTGTATTTAAATTCCTGGAAACTTTGTTATAGTACCTTTGGGGGACCTGTAGCCCTCCAAAAGGTTATACTACAGTTTCCCATAATCCTGGACAATTGATTATATTGGCTAGTATTGATGGGAGTTAAAATCCAGCCAACTATAGGTGCATGTCTCTGTGCTGTAAATGTAACTGCTCTGACTGGTAAATGGCTCTTCAGCTGAGACACTTTCAAGGTTTTATTGATGCTACTTATTACTGTCCAATGTCCAAGTTATACTCTAGGGTCTTCTGAACAGAAAGCTGAAACTGATGAAGAACCTCTTACACTTGAAAGTCGGGCTAGCTTAGAAGAATCACTAGAAAGGGTAAGATGATGGTTCTGTTTTCAAATTCTGCTTCCCTCTCCCACCCAGCAAAGGGAAAGATTATTATGTAGAGACCATTATTTCCAAAAATCCCACTTATTTATTCAGAACTAAGGTAATCAGGTCAGAAACCCTAGCAAAAATTAGCTATGACTAGAAAATACTGTCATATTCAGGTTGTGCATGAAATTACTAATCTCTTCACATGGCATTAGTTGGTGGTATTTATATTAGTTCCTGACCAGTTACTCATTACAAAATGCTAAAGAGGTTCTTTAGATTCTACTGATGCCGTCTTGATGTGGCAGGAGCAACAATAGGTATATTGTCATGGTGCAGTGGTTAAACTGCTATACCGCAGCCAAAACTGTGCTCACGACCTGGGGTTCAATCCCAGGTAACCGGCTCAAGGGTGACTCAGCCTTCTATCCTTCCGAGGTGGTAAAATGAGTACCCAGCTTGCTGAGGGGAGGGGAGGCAATGTGTAGCTTGCATAATTAACTTGTAAACCACCCAGAGAGTACTTGAAGCTCTAGGGGGTGGTATATAAGCAGCACACTTTGCTTTTTTGCTTTATATATTTTCATGGATTTGGTATCTGTCTTTTAAAATGAATATTAATGTAAACTGATTAGAAATCTGACAGGGAAGAAATCACTTTATTCACTTTATTCAAAATATGGTGTTGGAGGAGAGCTTTGCACGTACTGTGGATCATTAGGTAAAAAAAAGAGGGAATGTAGTCCCAGGATATTAAAAATGTAATGCTCTTTATTCCAGTATAAAATGTAGACTAATAGTCTTTTTATTTTATTTAACAGGCAGAAACAATATTAAAAGCATTGGAGCAACGATTGTCTGTTGTTGAATCAAGTTTTGCATCTCTTCACCACATTGGCTGAAAAATATTATGAGCATTACCAACATTAATACTGAAACATAGTCTTGGCATACTTATTAGGAAGTTTGTTAATTTACAGAAGGATTGTACATTTAAAAACATGAAGCATGCTTGGTGTCAGGCTTCTCAGGAAGCAAAACACTTCAGGGTAATTGATAACATTCTTCAGAAATTCTATTCAGAAGAAATGTTCATCCTACCTTCTGCTTCTATATTTGTATAGGACAAAATCCTATTACTTAGCCTAGTAAATCACAGTAGTCTAATTAAATTAGTGGGGATTTGATGAGTTAGCAACTCCATTAAGCTCTGTTGATTCCAATGGGCCTATTCTGTGATTTACTATGCTAAAGTAAGTTGCAGTTGGAGTAGGCCCATTTGAATCAGTGGAACTTATGGAAGACTGTTTCACTGAATCCACATTGTGTTAATGAAACTACTCTAATGTAATTTACTACGCTAAGCAACAGGATTTGGGCCACTATGGCTGACTTTGTTTTGTCACATTAGGGAGGAGTGTAGCTAACTTGTTTTTTCCAGAGAATGTGGTATCTGGAAGGACTAGATGCCCAATAAGTCAATGGAATGGTACCTGAACCTTCCATAAATGGTTGGAGCTATTCAGTCTTCTGCTAGTGGGTCATTTTTGTATAGTGTACAGAGTAATTGCTGAAGCCTGTATTTGTGCAGCTTTTCATACTTTAGCTGAACATGTTTAAATGTTATATCCTATGATACTTAATGTTTGAAAATAAGGTTTAGACCTTCCTGAAATTCTGGACAATTTTTTTAAGTGCAACCTTATTTTTGCCAGTAAAATAACTTGAAAATATTACAGAACTTGAACATTTTGAAATTGTATATGCATTAATTTGAAGGAACTGTTTTCTAATATCTTAAGAATGCAATTTAGTTAAGATACATGAATAAATGTAAATAAACAGTGATGTAAATATTTCAATAAGCACAGGGATTTGTAATTGATCTGGAATGTATAACTCAGTTGAACTGTTGTAGCTGTACTTTTTCATAGTCACCTCATTCCCTAGAATTGAAGCTTCATGCTGACTGCCAAATATCAATGCCTTTCATGTTCCAAATAACCTAGGTAGCATTAGTCATCATAATTCTCATAATGTTGTAGGACATTCTGTTCATATAATTGGGGCACATTGTGTAGCTTTATCCTTATTTACTCTTTCTTCAAAATTTAAAAAGAAGAACCTTTCATCAACAAAAAGTTTGCAGAGCAGGTACTTATATATAGTTATAACTTTAGCTGTTGTCAAGCAAACATAGTTTCATCTACAGAAAAGCAGAAGACTCTATGATATCTTAAAGGAGAACAATTTTATTATCAGGTTTTGTTCCTGAGTTGTTTTGAAAAGATAGTATATTGGCAGGTTTAATACCAATGAAAATAATTAATTATTATTTAAATACTATATAGTATTTATTTAGTATTGTTTTCTGGATCACTTATATAAAATAATATCTGAACAATATACAATGAAACGTATAACATCCAAAAAATATAAAATCCAGGACTAGGAAAGTCTAAGCAAACCAGGTCATTCTTAGAAGACTTTGCCTCCTGGATGTCAGTAGCAATTTGACTTGCATTAAAAGGGCAAAATATGGCACTCCAGATGTTGAGAGATTGTGACTTTGAATGTGCACCATTGACTACAATACCCAGAGCTGATAGGAGTCCTCCAGGGCTAAAAGACTGCATTTCCTCACCTCTGGCTTAGATTCTAAAACAACATGTTAAGGTTAAGGGTCCCCTTGACAATTTTTGTCCAGTCGTGTTCGACTCTAGGGGGCGGTGCTCACCCCCGTTTCCAAGCCATAGAGCCAGCGTTTTGTCCGAAGACAATCTTCCGTGGTCACATGGTCAGTGCGACTTAGACACGGAACGCTGTTACCTTCTCACCGAGGTGGTCCCTATTTATCTACTTGCATTTGCATGCTGTCGAACCGCTAGGTTGGCGGGAGCTGGGACAAGCAAAGGGAGCTCACTCCATTGCGTGGATTCGATCTTACGACTGCTTGGTCTTCTGACCCTGCAGCACAGGCTTCTGCGGTTTAACCCGCAGCGCTACCACGTCCCCTGCTAAGTGGCACATGAAAGTTTGTGAAAAGTTTTCTCCTGGCCCCTGCATTGTTTCATATAAAATCATTCTGTGAAAAGGAAAGGATCTTAGAGCAGGTTTCTTGCAATATCTTCCAATAAAATGTCTGCACTGAGCCTTTTAGCATAGGGGATGAAGTCATTAAGATCTGGACCTCTTAATTTGAGCAGAGACTAACTGCAGAAGAAACAGCCTACCTCATTTTATCAAGAGAATGCTAGTATTTTTATATGAGAGAGGTGGCGAGTGGTGCAAATAAAATTAAGGAAGGGCAAACCACACTGTGATCAGAAGTAGCAGATTTGAAATCTTCAGTTGTTCAAATTGCAGTTGCAATTAATGATGGTGTCACAGTTGTCCGAGTTCTGTTACACCCACTCTGCCATGCTACCCCTTTCTTCCTGGAGTATGAATCCAGGTAGGGTAACCTGTAGTACTGACTACAGATCCTGCCTGAAAACTGAGCTTCCAACACATCAGTCTAGCTATGACTCAGCTGTGCTTACCAGAAAGCCAAAAATCCACCACGCTGTGCACTCCCAAGCCCACCAGCCCAGCATGATAGTACTGTCATCATACTCACTTAACTCCCAAATTATTCCACCAGTAAGTAGTTGAGAACCAAGGATGGATTAAGCGCCTGCGGTGCTTAAGGGAGATAAGATCACCTATTTAGTAAAACTACAACAGTAAGTACAAATATCAAAAAAGCAACATTTAAATTTGGAGAAAAGCAGAAAACAATAAAGCTGACAGGATAGCAGCTTAGCATGCTGTCAACTAGGACAAGTGATGTAACTTCTAAACCCCTTTTGTTCATTAAAGTCCATGTCCAGACTTCCACACTTTCAGCCAACCAGTTCTCATCCTTCAGTAATTCAGGAAGGCAGATGGTGTTCTTACATCAACCTGGTTGAAACCAGTTCTCTACCTAGCAATATACCAAGCTGTCCTTGGGATGACTGTTCTCAGGAGATGAGACATGGATGTTTTCCTTTCCTTTCCTTTGTTGGGCAGATACCGAGCCACCACAACAAAGAGCCATTTTCCCACAAACTCAACCTGACATACAGTAATAGGCAGAAGATCTTGTGGGCTTGGTTGTTAGCATGGGACAATTATTAAATATTAGCATACAATACTGTATTTGGTCTGCTTTCTTGGAACTGTAATTAACCTAGCACTGAGGGAATATGAAAACCGACCTAGAAATAATTATCTCTCTTCAGTTTCTTTCCCTTTTGCTATCCCTCCTCCCTCATATTTTTCATCTTTTGTGTACAGTATTTCATTTGGATGTTTCTTGTATGCCTTTCAGTGTGGCTGAATTACACATTAGATCCATCTCAATTACTGTTACACACATACGGAGTAGTCAGACATTGTACGGATGCAGTCTCCATGCATTGAAGAGTGGGCCTAATCTCTCCCCTCTCCATCAATGTTTTCTACACATGGAAGCAAGATGTCTGCAGCAGTGGCATTCCTGTTCATTATTAGCATTATTCATATATTGAGCCTACATGTAAGAAGGAACGTCTCTGCTGTATATGTGTCACTTTCTATGTATAGAAAGCAATGGCTGAGAAGGGAGAGCTAGGCGTTCCTCTCAAAGCACGGAGATGATCCATGGAAGTAAGATCTAAATACTCCCATAGCATTACAGCTGGAGGTAGAGAAGCGTAATACTGTATAAGAGAGGTGGAGGCAGATTGTGGATAATGATTTTATTATTTTACCACACCAATACTAATGGAAAAGTGTAAATAGAGAAAGAAGTAACCTGTGACTTTACTGTGATCATTATAAGAATAGTTCAGATTAGCTTTTACTGTACAAAGTACTTTTATATGTCCCATAAATATATGAAATTAATTTTAACCATTTTGGTATATTTGTTCTCACTGCTACCACATGGTGGTGTATTCTGCCCTCTAAACTCTTGACTTTGGCTTAGTGCTACATTATTTCCTTCTTTGTTTCAGACTGAATACTGGTCCTGTTTCTAAATTTTTAATATCAATTCCTTAGGACTACAGGCAAATTCAAAGATAACAGTAAATGCTCTCTCTCTCTCTATTTCTTTTCAGTTTAATGAAATTAAATAATATTTGTTCATTCTCATGAAATTATCCAGTTTTTCATAATGGCTTCATTCTATAGCCTCTTTTTAATTCTTTAATGATGCTCACTGGCTTTTATGTGGTTTACCAAATGCAGGCAAAGCTTGGAAAAATACTTTTGGGGACTAACTTTTTGGGACCTTTCTGAATTCCCAAAGTCCCTCAAATAGTAGACTGGAAGATTCTGGGACTGTATATTAAAAAGTAACTTTTCAAAGTTCTACTGGACTTCAGGCCTAGCTGTCACAAAGAACAGATGAAGATGAATAAACTTGGATTTCTGACTATTAGTTTCAACTTCATCTTACAAACAAATGGATCTGCAGAGTAGGTTTTCTACAAATAAGACTTGCAATTAACCAATCAAGCTGGCTGGATAGTTCAGTGAGTTAAGTATCTGTCTGGGGAGCTAGAAGTTTGGAGTTCGATTCCTCAGTGCATCTCAGAAGAATCAGCCTGTGTAGCCATGGGCAAGCTGCACAATCCCAGGATACCCCAAGAAGAAGGAAATGGTAAACAACTTCTGAGTACTTTCTACCTAAAAAACTCTGAAAAGGATCACTGTGAGTCAAAATTGACTTGATGACATACAGTGGTGCCTCGCTTGACAATTGCCGTGCATTACGACGAATCCGCTTTACGACAATCTTTTTGCAATTGCAATTGCGATGGTCTAAATGGGGGAATTTTGCTTTGCAATGATCGGTTCCCCGCTTCAGGAACCGATTCTTCACAAAACGATGATTTTTCAACAGCTGATCGGCAGTTTCAAAATGGCCACCGGGTAAATAAAATGGCTCCCCACTGTATTTAGGGACGGATTACTCACTATACAGGCAGCGAAAATGGCCGCTGTATGGAGGATCTTCATTGGACGGTCAGTTTTAAGCCCATTGGAACACATTGAAAGGTTTTCGATGTGTTGCAGTGGGCTTTTTATTTTCGCTTTACGATGTTTTCGCTTAACAGTGCTTTTTCTGGAACTAATTATCGCCATTAAGCAAGGCACCACTGTACAATAAACTGAATGGATAGCTCAGAGGTTTACATAAGAGGCTGTGGAGTCAGAGGATTGATTCCCCACTGTGACATTTGGGAGAAGAGACTGTCTTTGTAATCAGGGCAAACTGCACAGGCTCAGGGTGCCTCTGGAAAAAGAAAACAGTAATCCACTTCTGAGTATTCTCTACCTAGAAAACCTGGAAAGAATTGACTTGATGGCACACAATTATTACTAACCAATCACATGTGGCATAACCTGCAGCCATCATTCAGTAGTGCCAGTGTGGCATTCCAGTTGACATTTCAGAAGAGTATTAGAAATGTAAAGCAACTTTAGTAATTTGCAAAAAAAAAAGAAAAAAGAACTAATTGCTTGAAATATTTTCTTGTTTTAGTACTACTTCACTTTCACAAATTAGCTAGAAACAGGATGTTAGTTTTTTGGACTTCTGGTGTCCATGTTGTTTGTAGATTTTGGGGAATAACAGTAAAAAAAGGTCACTATTCCAGGCTCTGATCAAAGTATATTTTATGGAGACATTCAAGAGAACATTGCTCAACCATCTGTTAAGTCTGCTTTGATTTAGATTCCTGCATTGAGTAGGGGGTTGGACCCCATCGCCTCCTAACTCCATTATTCTATGATTCCGTCATTTGTGTTCTATGAGTAGCCCTGTCCATTGGAAATTACTGTTAGGATGTTTGTCGGATGCTCTTCTTTTGTTGTAGCCACCTAATTTTGGGGACAAAGGATACTGCTTGAGTGGAAGGTGAATGAGAACACTGTAAGACTGTCCCCGTTTCTAAAATTAGCTATGTGTGGATGGGGTGATGTGGTAGATATGTCTGAGGAGTTGCCAGAGTTTGTGAAGGGAACCTTTTCTGCCAGTGCAAAAAGAGAGGAGCCAAATACATTAATGCAAAGATGCACTGTGTACTCTTAAAACAGTAATTTCCACAAGGACGTGGGTACCATTTTAAAGAATGTTAGGAATTTGCAACAACCAAAAGTTACCAGCTTGCTAGCAACTTAACATTAATATCTGTACTGTGTACCAGTGCTGCTACTATTTAATGTGAGATGGTGTGAGGCCTAATATTACTCAATCCAGCATCTTTGTCTAATAAGGGACCAGTGTCTCCAACACCTGCTTGATCAGCAGAAACCCAACAGATGCTGCTTTCCTGTCTACATCTCCACTCCCACACTTGTTGGATTCCCGTGATGGCTGCTTCCAAGTTTCTTACCACTTATGGAAAGTGCCACTAATCACCCAGTCATTACGTTTTCAACGGCCCTTCTTACCTACTTCCCATGAGCCTCCATACTCTATCCCAGATCCAGAGAGTTTTGGAGAACCCCTTAATCCTAAGGAGCAGCTTTTTTTTGGCAAGTACAGGAAGACACAATGCAGCTGTGGACAAAGGGATTCTACGTGGGCTACAAAGTTGTTTCTGTATATCCCTGGTCCCCAGATATTTTTGAATGGAGATCCTCAGCCCACCACAATTCCAAAACCTGCAATTGTTCTTTTAAACTGACCCTCCACCATTGAACAACCTCCAATACCCATTTATGAAAATTGCAAGT